TGTGTGTGCGCGCGCGCGCGTTCACAAGGCGAATTTCACAAAAAAAAAAAACAAAAAACAAAAAACAAAAAGAAAAAAACAAAAAGACAAAGCAAAACAAAACAAAAAACAAAAAAAACAAAGAAAAAACAAACAAACAAGCATTACACCCATTCACACACAAATATGTACATATTGATGCGAGGGACTCACGAGTGAGGAGGGGAGGTAGGATTCGTTTGCACCCCATTGGAGGGTGCGCCATTCTCAGAAGGAGGAGCTGAAGACTTCTTTAGGGTGGACGAATTCCGCTTCTGAACCATACTGTTCCGTCTCGGAGCCACTTGACCACTCATTTTCCTTTAATTCTTCCCCAAATTATTGCATCTGCAGATACGTATATGCTTAATATATAACAATATTATTGGGTTATCTTCCTTATGCGGAAATGGATTAGAGAGGTTAGGGCTTTGATTGAGAGAGGGGATAAATTCAGATGCCCTAACCCCGCCTCTCCCTCAATTCTTTGCTATTTCTTGTTCTGCCTTTGTTTACACGCGCAGAGACAGAGAAATGGAACTATTTGAGAATTTCGAATATATTTTTATTCATTTATTTGATTATTAGAGCTGAAAATCAGAAAATGTGAAGTCGTGCTTGTGTGGCTGTTGCCTTTACAGCTTCTCTGGTCTTCAGCCACGATTTTCATTTTAATTTTAATGCAATTCCCGTTTGGCCCCTGATATTTCACATTATAATAAAAGAAATAATAATTTTTAGCAAATGTGTAATTAAAAATAAATAATTTTTTTAATTTACGTGAAATATCATTTTCCTGAGAGCGTGTGGTTGATATAATCAGAGAAAAAATAAATTATAATTTAATGAGGATTAATGGGGCCAAATAATATTGTGAATAATAATCCAATTTCTCTATTAATATCTTTTCAAATTACAAATTTGTCCTTGTCTTTAAACAAAAAGAAAAAAATGGTGTCTCAATTTTTTAAAGAAACTAATTTGCATCTCGTGTGTTACACTAGTTTTGTATTTATTAGAGAATTGGATACTCAAAAATTGGAAATTACAGAAAATTTTAAAGCAAATCGACAAAGTGAGAAATAGCCCATAAAGAAGATCAACCTCATCAAAATTAACAAATATATTAGAGAAATCAGCCATGAACAACACTTGAAGAAGAAAAAACTCAGCTAGTTAGGTTAAAAAATTACCATAGCTGAAGCATGAATGATGCAACAGGTGAAGAGGGACAATCTTCGGGAACCAAGTTAATCATAATTTTATTTGTAAGAATTTTTTAATCAATAAATGGGCTTATATGTGTGAATAATTGTGTTTTAAATTATAAGCTATCGAATTCGGTTGAGCCCAATTAAAGTGATCTAATAAGGCTTCGATTTTGGACTTTAATGTATCTAATTAAAGTGTGAATTTACATATGTGTAGAGACCGGACTCAAGTCATAATTCTATGATAGACCGAATTAGGTCAAAAGGGCGTCGTTATATAAATAGGTTATGGTCCCCAGATCACACGCATGTATCATTCATTTTCTTCTGCATCCCATCACAGAGAGAAAAAGGAGACTGCGTGTAGATTTGGAAGACTATAACGCGAAATTCATTATTGCATTAATCATGTCTGATTCAGGTACGCTTTCGTTTTAATTCTTGTATTTCTTGATGATTTAACATGAAAGATCCGGTGATTTAAAGCATTAAATTATCCAACATTATTATCCAAAAAGACGTATGAATAAAACCAAAATAAAGTCAATTTTGTTTTTTTTTTTTGTTACTATGCATAGACAAACAACCGTGGTAACTTTCCTTTCTTTCTTTCTTATATAATTTTCTTCGTTAAAAAAAACAAAAATTTAAATCTCAAATATTTACATGGCATGCTCAAGGGAGAAGATTTTGGGGTTTCATCCCCATCATTGCTTACGGAAAAAACGTAGACTAAGCGAGAACAACGTATGAAGCAGAAGTAGTAACTAATTCAGTGCTTTATTGCTTACAGTAACTTCATGCTCCACTGTTACATTGGTATCGTGAGCTTTATTGTGCGCTTCAGTCTTCAGGCTTACAATAGTGACCTTTCTTTATGTACTCAAGTTGACGTATTAATCTATTGCTGAAGGGATGGAAAAAGTTTTATTCCAAGCTTCTTATATGACCCCAAGTATTTGAATCTGCCTTCTATTAGTGTTATAAGGCAAGCTCTACACAGTGGTTGTCACGAAGGTAAGAAATTCAAAAGCACTGAACAAGCTTTAATTTGGCAATCATCATAGCTGAAAGGCACTGCAAGCTTGATGTCTTCAAGCTGTGCTTTTGGTGTTTATTACCAGTCATACGAGCCAACATGCACACTCTGTGAACTAAATTTTCAATATTGTGCGTGTATGTTCCATCTACCTATAGATAGATCAAATTACAAATAAGACAACATAGCAGAGGCAATGCAATGATTATATAAATAGGAACTAACATTGTTAATTATTGTAATTATAACAAAAATTAGATGGATTTATTTCATTCCTTCCAGAGACTGATGAAGATAGAAAGGGGGTGGAAAAGGGGAAAAAAATTTCTACTATGTACCATGCACGGAGTGTTGTCCACTCCGTGCACACAGTGTGCACATTCCGTGCACGAAGTGGTTTGCTCTTCGTGCACAGAGTGAATGAGAATTTTTTTTTTAAATAAATTTTTAATAAAGTAAAATCTGAAATTTATATTAAAAAATGAGATTTTTTTTGGTCAAAAATCTAGGTAGGAGGAGTGCACGTGGCTCTTTTCTTTTTCTTTTTTTTTTTTTTGGAAGAGAAAAGAATTAAAAATGAATTTAAATTGGAAAAAAAATTTATTTATAAAATAAAATAAAATAAAAATTATCTCCATGCATAGAGATAAATGTCTCCCTTCATGGAGACTAAAGCCTCCGTGGACGGAGAAATTAATTTTATATATATATATATATATATATATATCATTGTTTACATTATAAATTTATTTTTTTCAATTTAAAATTCTTTTTAATTCTTTTATCTTCAATTTTTTTTATTTATTTACAAGTAACTTTTTACATTTTAGAAATGTTTACTGTCTTAGTGTTAGTATATTTTTTAGTAATTCCAAACAATATTTAATTTTATAGTTATCTTTTTATTAATATTTAAAAAATTAAATTTATCTAAATATTACTTTAAATTTTAAGCTAATGGTGGGAGGTATGAAAAGTTGTATGTTGCAGTAAATTAGATTTCTTCCTTTACTGTATTATATATATATTAAGCAAAGCAAACGACGTCGTTTTTGCTCACCCACTTTGAAAAAAAAATGTTACTGTTGACACACAAAAAGTTCAGCCCAAGTCGAATAGCCTAAGGAATGAAACCCAACTGGAAAATCCCCAAAATCAGATAGCCCAAAGAACGAATCAGTCAGGCAATGCAAGATAAAGACCCAAATAAGGAAGCCCATGAACGCGGAAATACCATCGTCCAAGGTTGCAAGTCACCCAAGATTTGAGCGAATGAATTGTCATGCAGTCGTCCAGAGTTGTGACTCTGCTCTCGTCCAAACATTCGAGTCGCCCAGCATCTTAGCAAACATAAGAAGTTATGGTTACCCAAAAGTGCAGTTAATGAAGCAGTTATTGGGTAGTCCTATCACGTTTCACGATTCAAGGAATTCAATTGAAGATGGTTGAACGACAAAAGTAATGGCAGCAGTTAGAGAAGGTAGTTCCATGACAAGTTGCCCACTATAAGGAAAGTGGGTAGTTATAGAACGATTAAGCAGTTTCTTAAGCAGTTGATCACGAAAAAATCACTCAAGGAGTATAAAAGGAAGAAAAGACATAGAGCAAAAACCCCCGAATCAAATACTCTCAAACAGAGAATATGTAACTTTCAATTTTTTAGTTTAGATTTAAACACTTCTTTTACGGTAACTCGTGTGCTTGGGCCCCTTGGAGGCATTTTGTTTTTACTTTCCAATTGTAAAGTCATCGTCAATAAAAACGCCCCTTTTTGGGACTTTGTCTCAAGAGGTTTGTCCCTTACACAATCGTCTGATCCCTTTTTAATTGTTAGCGACTAATCCGCGCGAAACAGTTACAATGGAACAAAATGGTATAAATCACTGTTGATTTCAACAGTAACTTCACATCCTTTTTTTTTTATATATATAGTAGGGATACAAACGAGTACCATTTCAACATTTAAAAAAGAAAAGGAAAATTAAAATATCTGTTTCTTCTTCAATCAATCTTGTCTACAGCTACTTTTAAATTGGCCAAGTCAAATCCCTCATTTTTCATATAAGCTTAATTTAGTCCTTGTTTGAGCCATACTATTTTCATAAAAATACATTTTTGAATAATGTATTGATGGAAAATATGTAATTAAAAAATAAAAAAATGTTTTAAATTTATGTGTAATATTATTTTATTGAATGATGTGTGTTGAGATGATGTTAAATTATTATTTAAAAATGTATTTAAAAAAAATTGGGTCAAACGAGACCGTAAAGCGTATTCACCACAATAACCTTTTGAATATTAAAAGACAATATACCTTAAGAATATTATTAAATTATAAAAACATGATTTTCTTTAAGAGACGATGACACTATTTTAGTTACACTAAAAATTCAAATGCTTCCCACTTAAAATTGCAAAATCAAGAGACTTTCTTTATCCGTTTTCTCCAACTCAGATAAAAACTCGATCATTTTTTTATTTGTTTTAACCTTAAAACTTTATAAATTTATCAAATGCTCGACAAGAAATCTCATGTGTATCCATCACTTCGAATAGGTAAGTATACGTATATTTATTTAATTTTTTCGTTAATTAGTATTTTTTTTAATCATTGAATTTTAATTCGACACACATTAATGCATAGATAAATTTTTGCATTTCATTAAATAAATATACAACTTTTTCAAACAAAAAAAATGAAAAAAGAAATCGTTTGCTTACTACGCTCTTTTAGACAGATTCATGACAAGTATATGGACGACCCAGACAGGCATGGAAATAGATGAGTGAAAGTGACAATGTTACTAGAATTATTATAACATCATTGTATTGTGTGCGAAAATATACCATGATTTACAAACCATACTCAATGTCGTTATACCAACTTCTACAATTGTTGAACCCCGCTTTGCCAACTCTTGATATTCCTATAGTATCTCTAGCTCAATCAGGACCATCAGGTAGTCATTCTGATGTTTATTAACGATCACACACGCATATGCTGCCTTTATCTAAAGAACTCTAAATCTGAGGTTGCAAAACTCTTCCAAAGATTTTTATTCAAGTCGAAAATCAATTTGAAACAAAAATAAAAACATGCCTTACCTCATATTTACCTTAATAAAAAAGTAAAAAATAAAAAAAAAGGTTGAACCCCAACCTTCAGGGCCCCCACCGCCCCGCAGCATTGTGAGGAAGATAAATCACGGGATGTGCCCCAACAGGTCAGGGAACAAGAGCTTATTCGTACGTTAGTGCCCACAAAGAGTTCAATTTCATATCTCGTGAATCGAACCCTCACACAATACGACTGCCAGTAATGCTGAAACTACATCATTCATATCCTTTGCACCACTGGATTATGTCCCGGGGGCACCTTTAAAACTTTTTAGTTGTACAGTGTTTATCCGATTGCCAACTCATCTTCAATCCAAATTCAATTCAAGAGCAGGGAAATGTAATTTCCTAGGCTACGCTCCTAATAAAAAAAATGTAGAAGTGCTTTAGTCCCACCACGAGGAAAATTCATGTTAGTATGGATGTAAACTTTCTTGAAAATATTTCTTTTTATAACAAAACTACTCTTCAGGGGAAAAGTTTAAATGAAGACCGATTTTGGCAACAAAAACAATTGAAACCCATCGTGTTTTTTTTTCTGAAATAAATTAGAAAACACATGCTTTAATAAGTGAAAGATGCGACTTGCCAAATAAAAAAAAAGGTTGAACCCCAACCTTAAGGGCCCCCACCGACCCTGCCCTGGGCCATCGTGAAGGAGGTAAATCGCAGGATGTGCCTTCCAGGAGCCAAGGTGGAGAGCATATGGATAGGTCAAGACTGTTAACCCATATGGTAACTCCCGCTTGCAACAAAGTCAATTCCACCTTGCGGGGAATCGAACTCTGCACACTGCCGCGCTGAGCCCTATCCGCCCTCCCCTTTGCCACTATGAGATATGCCCTGGGGGCGACTTGCCAAATAAAATTGTATAACAAATAGGTGGAGAACTCTACAACCTATGTCTACTGAGCTCCATGTTTATACTAGGCGCGTGTTTAAATCTAATACAAAAAATAATTCGATCAATATTGAGCATGGTCGATAGACGCCTTTTGGATTCAACAATTGTATGAAGCTTACAGATGGATGACTCACATCTTTCTTGATTTGATCCAACGATTGAGTTGACGAAGTTCAGCCTATAAAAGGAAACCTTTACCCTTCAGATTATCTCACTTTATAAAATGTCAAAAACTAAAGCATCCCAAATTCTATTTAGAAATTCCAGCAAGCAATTCGTGACTAAGCTCAAGTGTAGCAGCAAAACACTTTTTAGGTAATTCTTTTTCGAATTTCTGCAATTTCTCTTAATCTTTTCCGTTTCTTCTTCTCAAACACTTGAAACATTGAAGATTATTTCCCATTCTCATGAGGGTTTTGGCAATAGGTAATAGATTTAAGTGGAAATTACACTATATGTCAAGTTTTGGGTTTGCATTTACAAAAATGTCATTTTTTAAAAGAGATTACGAAATTGTCATTTTTGAAGATTTTTGGACATTTCTGCCCCTCTTAATAATTTCAATATCTTGTATATCCTTCATTAATGAGACATGGCTAGATGAGAAATTTGAAAACCAAATTAGCCTCTCTCTCTTCCATTATTGTTCCTTCCATCATCTCACGTTCTCTCTCTCTCCCCATTTGGTTTTCCCATCATCTCACGTTCAGAGGAAGTCCGGCAGCTGCTGAGCACCTCCGGCGTGATTAAACGTCAAGTTGCTGCCACGAAGTCGTCGACGCTGAGCTTCTACCCTCGGCGACTACTGTCACTCTAAACCTCTCTCTCTCTCTCTCTTTGTTTTTTTTTTACTTCCTGTTTTTTAGCCATTACATTAGGCTAATTTATGATTTTGTTTTACAGAGTAATTTATTGAATTTTGAAAGATTTAACTTCGGCAGCTGCTGAGCACGGTAGTCTCAGCACCTCCGGCGTGATTAAACGTCGAGCTTTGTCCAGGCTTGTGAGTTGAACCTGCTGCCACCAAGTCGTCGACGCTGAGCCTCCACCCTCGGCTACTGTCACCGTAAACCCGTCTCTCTCTCTCTCTGTCTTTGTAATTTTTTTTTAGTTCCTTTCTTTTTGCCATTACGTTAGGGTAATTTATGATTTGGTTTTACATTAGGGTAATTTATGATTTTGTTTGACAGAGTGATTCAAATGATAGTTTAGTAGTTTGCGTAATTGTTAGTTTACTGTATTTGAGTTTCCTGCACCTATGATGACTAATCGAACCCAACGTGTCTTTTTCAAGTAGTAATTATGTTGGTTTAGATAATAGGTTACAGTTATATTACCAAGAGAGTGATTGCTAAAACCACTTTGGTTATGGCTGGGTGAAGTTTGCTGCTTCATATGAGAATGCAACGAGAGACCAGCTTTCTTTGCATATGCATTTCGAAGAACTGCCCCTCCTAAAGAAAGTCTCTTATCGGTCACACCTCCTGTTGAAGGTCTAGAATTCTTCTTCCCACTGTGTGATGGACTCGGTTTTGATCCAAAAAGTGCTTCCTTCTCTGCTATAAACTGTCCTTGAAGCTTCTTCTGGTCCTAATATGCACATTCATGATTATAACATTTAGGTGCAGTAACTAAAAACTAAATCCAACATCAATATTTGTTCAAATAGTAAGGATACCCTCTGCCTTTGATGTTCTTGCTCTTTCTGCTGCCAACATATTCAAGAAACTGAAACATTATATAGCAGTTAGTACTATGTCACTTGTACTTCAATTTCAGTTCAAAATCTGAAGATTTTTATTTTTTTACCAATAGCTCTTCAGAAGTCGAAGCTTCCGGTAAAATTCAATGAAGGCCCGTCTGAACTTTTCTTCTGTTTTTCGTAGTTCATCCTTGCTGAATGATAGATCAGATTTTGAACTCATGATGACATTTTTCAGAGTCGAAACTGGGGTATCTGGTTCCACATTGATCTTTACATGATCTAAAACTTGTAATGAAGGAGGCCTAAAACCATTTGAATCCTTTTTTTCTGTCTTCTTTTCATCTTTACAAGTCCCCATCTCAATTTCTTGAATTACATCCATATGCAATCCTCCTTAAAAGAAAGAAGACTTTGAGAATGGAAAATGTTTGTTACGATACTGTATATTTAAAAATAATAAGCACCTAAAGCAATGCATTGTTTTTGTTCATTTTAAACAAGACTCAATTTCTATATATATCATCAACTGATTATGCTATCTCACTTCGAAAAATTTGAATATGAATTCTTGATGCCATTTAAACTCTTACTATGACTAATTTACACTCTGATTGCCTTACCTTGCTTAGTTCCATTCACAGTTGCAATAACTGTTGCTGGGGATGAACCAAGAATCAGCCATAATAGATAAGATGGTTCATGAAAATATTAGAGCAAGGTTCCAAATTCAAGTCTTGTCTTTACCCACTTATTCTACACCTTTTGATGAAAAATTCATCTATCTTGCACATAAGAGGCATCTTGAATACTAAAATTAAATTAATAAACACATTCCTCTTTAACAACTGAAACTGTTAGAAGAAGTGATTCAATATACGTAGGTTGCCTAAAGAAAAGACAAATATGAGATCTGTTGAGGGATATATTTCCCACATTTAATAAAATTTAATATAAACCTACATAAGGGTTTTGATTATTTATCTTAACAATGCTAATATTTTAAGATTGAACTTCAAATCTTAACACCTTTTTCGTACAAATAAAAATTTGATTTTAATCTCAAGTCAAAATTAACAATTAATTTTAACTATACATTTCATTGAGCCTACAACTTTTCAATCACATATTTCATCAACTTTTATCGATATTACTAAAAATATAATTTTAATCTATACCAAAAGGGCTTCATATCGTATCAAAGCCAATTAAGTTCCAACAAACAATTCAATTTGATTAAGATCCAAACAAGTACATGAATTTCAAGATTAGGTTCCTCAAAAGAGCTATCATCTTACAAGACATGGCGAGGAATAAAATTTCATATCGAACAAACATACAAATATAAACCAACATATAAGGGCTTATACTATTTCTCTTAATAAGTTTGCTCTTTTAAGATGAAATCTTCCTAATGAGATCAGTTTGTCAAGTAAGGTACTTCTAGCAAGAGAAATGCTTACACCATCATACAAGAACTGAAAACCTCTTTCTTTCTCCCAAGCTTTCAATTTAGGCTTCAATGTTTCCACCATCTCTATGAAACCAACCAAACCAAAGTCACTAAGTTCATCTATTCAAACACATACAGAAATGAGAGAAAAGTAATGTTGCTCCATAAGAATACCAAATAAACTATCAAAGGTTATCTTTCCCCGAATCTCAAAATAAAAAAGAAATTATTTTCTCACGTTCATCATACACGTTAACTCGTGATCTTACCTCCATGATATTCTGATGAGAGAGAAACTTAATGGCATTAACAAGTATTTATTCTAAAAGCAGATGCTCTACTGTTCATTGACCCTCTGTTTCGAAGAAATCAAATTAACTCCTTGCGCCATATTACTAAATTTAACATCAGGAGTCTAAGTAAAGGAGATTGCCAATCTCTAGAACCTGGCATTGTTTTATTGGTTATTTGGGTCTCTCAGAATTGGAAATTTAATAAATCGGAGGAAATTGGCAAAGCTGCTCATATACCATTAAATATCATATACAACATATGGCTCCCCCAACACATTAAACACATTTCCCACCTCACCACAATTATATTAAAAAGTGAGATATGTACCTGGAATTTTGGTAATAAGAGTTCGAGCTTTCTCAGCACGCTTTAGCATAAGATGGGTACCTCTCCCAGCATTATAACGATTTTCATCGTAAATTAGGATCATTCTAGATAGCGAGTAAGAGAGATGAAAATATATAAAAACAGTAGTACAAGTCATTTCACTTGAGCAACATATATCCCACGCTATTATACTCCTCCAGCCAGCACTCCTCTTCACAAGCAGCCAACCATTTTTAAAGTTTTTCAAGTATATCTTTTCTACTAAAAGCTTCTTCTTTAACCTTGGAAATATGAATATCCAGTTGTTCCAGTAGCGAACAAGTATGTTTTGGGTTAGTAACAAGTACTTTATTGACCATCAACTGTTCTTACTAATTTTGTACAATAAAATAATTTGCTTGTTAGATTTAATGTGGAATAAGCTTGTGGTTTAGAAATATGCATTACAAATTGTATGGGTTTTTAAGGAAACATATGCAACTTCAGCAAGTTTGAGGGGGGTTATACTGTGTAAATAGGACAAGCACAGGGTTTTAAATTTCTACATATTAGCCGTAAACAGCTCATTCCATTGGTTCAAACATTGGTCTTTTCTTTGCAGTTGCAGTTATTTTTTGTTTTGTATGATCAAAATATGTTAATAACAAGGAACATATTCAAAACTGGATTTCCCGACAGTTCATCTATCCATAGTTGTTTCTCAACTGTCGTACCCGACAGTTATCCTCTGTCATTCTCAACAGATGAACCGTCGATGGATAAAATGTCGAGACCGACAGTTCAGTTGCTGCCTGCCTAGCCCTGCCTACCAGTAGAAAATGATATTTCTATGTAATATGCGTTCAAATATCAGTATTCCTTTTATTTTTTGCATGCAACAATTTCTGAAGTTCAATGGGCTGAATTAGGGCTATTTTATTGAAGTACTATGGTTGGTACTCATATGCATTTGGTGGAAATCATGTTTGATGTGGGCATATCTTTCGTTTCAATGCTGGGAGGAAGTTTATATTGTGGTCTGACGCATTTATTTCTTATTTTGTCTTTGTAGACATGGATTTCAAGCCTCTTGTTCCAGAGAATGCACGCTTGCGGGGCCACGTATCGCAGAGAAGCAATTTGTGGTATATAAAAACAATCGTGGAACATTTTGACGAGCGACAGCAGGAAGAGTTTCGCAACTCATGCCTTGGGTTCTTGTCCGAGGTTCCAGATCTCCATTTCTCTGCCCAATTAATCCAACAACTCGTACTCTACTGCATACAAACAAAGAAGCGGCACGAACTGTGGTTTAATTTTCAAGGCCACCTCGCTAGGTTCGGAATTCAAGAGTATGCCCTTGTGACTGGATTAAGGTGTGGTCTTCTCCCGGATGACAATGTCATGGACCGAGTTCTTGACAAGAGGAGACTAAAGGACAAATACTTTAAAAATGTGGACAAGATTTCTTGCGCCCAACTCGAGCAAACATTTCTTCGATCGTCAACGCCTCGAGCCGATCGGTACAAGCTTGGCCTTGCTTTGATTATCGAAGGAGTCTTCAATGCTCCGGATAACAACGTTAGTATCGATATGGAGACGTTGTCGATCGTCGACGATCTAGACTTGTTCTTTCGTATCCTTGGGGTAGAATCTCATATGGACGGCTGATAAAGGGCTTTCGGGGCCGTTGGGCAAGAAAATTTTTGGATACGACGAAGAAGAAGGAGAAGGCGGTTAGCTACACGGTCCACGGGTTTCCCATTGACATACAGGTATCTTTATTTTACCTACTTATTATTTCAATGCAAATGTATTTTGTGGTTGGTTTCGTTCTGAACTCACATTCCTTTTTTTACTGTAATAGATATGGGCGTTCGAGGCGGTGCCTGAAATTGGAGACCACTTCGGTCAGCGTCTTGGGGAACGTTCCCCACGGCTTCTCGGCTGGACATCAACAAAACAGCCGCAGCAGCGTACGTACGACGCTTTCTTCAAGAATGTACAGATAAAAAATTATGTTACTTCTACGATCTCATACCTTCCATTCGTCATTGTAGCATGTGGTTATTTCGTAACGAATATGTTCATGTTGTAGCTACATGTGTACGCGACACTGCGGCCCACCGAAACTGAGCGTGGGCAACCTCATATCGCAACTCTTGTGCTGCTCAATGATGATCATGTCCCTGCGTTGGATGAGCTTGCTAGGGACAGTGTTGCTCCGCAGTTCCAAGCAGAGAGTATAGGCACCCCCGAGGATGATACTTCTGAGGAGGCCCATGACAGTGGGGGGACCAGTGGCGAGGAGGAGGAGTCAAGAGCCGATGAGAGCGGAGAGGACGAAGGTGAGGACTCGGAGGAGCACGACAGTGAGGATAGTGATAGTGATCGAGTTGGACGAAGTGGACAGATGGGGACTTTTTCCACCCCCACCAGCATAGAGCTACTTCTCCCATGCAGGCACCGTCCACCTCTCATGTACGACCTACTGCAACGGCTGGATCAAGCCTCACAGCAGACGATGTTCAGGGCATGTTGCTAGATCAAAGAATTCTGTTTGAAATGCGGTTCCGCACTGTGAAGCTCGAACTCATGCAGCACATGTCTGATGAATTTAAAAAATTGAAGGACTTCATATCCACCATCGTCCCAGCATCCGACTCTACAACCACTGCATTTGCGACTGATGTGGACCCCGAGCCCAGACAATCAGGTACTTCACCGTATGCGTACTACAGTTCTTTATGACAATGTTCACTTTATCCCTGCTCACTGACATGTTCTGTATGACAATTGTTCATTCACTGTAGACTACGGAGGCTTTGCAGGCCACCACCCATCGCCTGACGGTATCGACGAAGACATGGGGATTGACAGGCAAGAGGGGGATGGTATATGCATTAATGAAGAACACATAGAGCCATGCCTGGACGAGCAGGATATGCCACTGGCCACTGGAACTGAAAGTCTGCAAGGTACGTCGGTTACTTTTGAGCAAATTGATTAATTATCATTTCATGTGTTTCGAAAGTTTTGAAAATTGTTAAAATTCACTTTCCATTCGTTGTTTCGTTGTTGTTCTGAATAGACATAGCGCACATTCAGCCGTGCCCGGAGGATCGCCCCTGCCAGAGCCCTCTACAATCGAAGAAGTGCAAGGTATTGCATTATTTTTCACGATTTGAACAAATATTATTTCAGGCATTCGATTAGTTTACAATTGTTCATTTGTTGTAGTCGAAGGGGGCCACCACCCATCGCTTGGCGACCGTGACAAAGAGCAGGACATGCTACCTACTAGAACCATAAATCTACAAGGTATGTGGGTCAGTTATGAGGAAAACTTGTAGAATGTTGTTTCATGTACTTGGCATAATTTGAAAATTCGTACATGTAGTTATACACTAAAAATATTTAATTGTTCTTTTCGACAGATACAGTACACATTGAGCCATGCCCCGACAATGACCCCGTGCTAGCGCTCGCTGCAGTGGATGAAGTGCAAGGTATTGCCTTAATTTTTGACAATTGAATTTATTTTTCGTTTCATTTGCTTACGTTGTAACTTTCCCAGTTCCCGCCAATGTAGCCCGACCAGGACGGGCAATTACGACAAATAGACGGCGATCGGCACGACTGCGACGTCCGGCACCTGCTACCAGGACTCCGTACACGAGGGGGAGCGCAAAGCAAAAACATAAGTAATTGTGGATAAATTGCCAAACATAGCACGGTGACGGGGTTCAGCATGCTTTTGTCTTTTTTTTGATGTAATTTACGTGGTGAAGGATGTTAGTTACTTCGCGTTATATTGGTGTCTTTTTCATCCATTTTTGTGATTTACATATCAGTCAGGGTAGTTGGCAAGCTTGGTGACACTTAGAAGCATTCATCACATTTTGCAATTCTCGTGGTGAATGCCTTGTCACCGTTTACCGTTGCTGAAATTATTATAGTGTTACAACTTGTTTTAGTTATCCGGCTTTATTATGTTATGTCAATCGTAGTTACGGTACTAAGTGCCTTCATTCAATTTTTGTCAACACTCGTACATTGTATTGCGCAAAAAATTATGTATGCGTACGTTTTACGAATATCCATTTACGAGTAGATAGCGGGCTTGAATGTCGTAGTGCCTTAGTAAACTATAGATTGGATTAAGATGAGGACCCATTAAAAGTGTCAAAGTCATGACTTCCATGGTACAACTAATTGACAAATGAGTTTATGTATATTCCCTTGTCTTTCAAATGTTATTATGTGGGTTAACATGATGAGTGGGTTTTGTGAGAAACTGTACCATTATAACCATGGTTCAACTAAGAAGCTGGCAAATGAGAAGTAATTTGTTGCAAGCAACCAGATAACATGAATTTTACACATCATTGAAGTATTCTAGTCTCTGCCAATGTCATAGTAATGATGGTACAATGGGGGATAAAGGTACACTTATTATATCAACCATCACACCAATTGCTTTTCAAATTTATTTAGAGATTGAACTTGGTGGTTGGGTAGATAAATGAAGTAATTACTTCCTCCTTTCAGGATGATTATAAATACCAGGAGACCATTGTTGCTTACAAGCAATTTTGTAGCCAAGGTATTGTGCCACTTTGAATTTACCTACAGATCATTGATACACTTTCAATGTAGTTGAACAGCATTGTGGTAAGAAAGAGCTGCTTCTATTTATTCTTCTTCATTTATTTTGCAGTTTACAAAATTCGAAATTATACGATCTTTACTGCAATGCACGTTTTCGTCAACTGTCGAGAAGGAATAAAACATCTATCGGGCCCGACAGTTCAACTAGGCGGGCCATTAAGTTTTATAAGTTCCTTGCTTTTCGATAATTGAAAATGGTGGGATTGTCCAATACAAGTGTCTTAGTGTAACATGCTATTGTAGATATTATACGTTTCTGATTTTTTGCAAGTAACAAGTATTTCCAATACATTTATACTTACTTAATGAATGCATTACAAGCATTGTCTATCAAATTACATTTTAGATGTCATTAAAGCTGTTGTGAGACTTCCATTTTGAAACAGGTAGTTGATACGAGATAATGGGTTCATCCACCTTTAGCAATGAAACATTCAACTCCAATATGCATCCACCCATACTGGGTTCATCCACTGAATTTCCCATCGTTTTGTTGTCAGACGATGAGGATGTAAGAGTTGAACAGCATGGTGCCGAGTTCGATGAAGTGTCAAGTGCAGAATCTAAGTCACCGAACAGCGTTCTCGATCAAGTCTTCGAGGTTAGGGGTCCGATCGAGTCACCGTCCGACTCGAATGAGTGGGTGGCTCATGTTCCACCTCCAGAAGTAATTGTCATTAGCTCAGACGAGTCTGATGGAGAAAGTGGGGGAGCTTCTTAAATTGTCAAAAGCAGTGCAACTGTGTAATAAATGGCCCTTTTGTAGGAAAATATGTTTAGTATTTTGTGGTATGGATGATTTTGGTCACGTTCTCTGGATACGTACAGAAACTGCATCTCCATAATAGGCAACCACAGTAGTGTAGGTTTTCAAGCCGCTGTTGTTCCCAACTGTCGAAAATTACAAAGACTATCTGTCGGGAACGACATATGAACTGTCGAGACGTAATGTTGGTGTTTTGTTTGTTCGGTATGGTCTCATGAAAATCAATTTTTCAATTTGACAAACTGTTAGTCGAAGCTAATGAAACTTCTATGATCAGCTAAGTTTATAGTAGGAAAAAGGTATTCCTCTCATTCGTGATAATGGAACTGTAATGATCGGTACTTTGCTTGCGGAACATAATGACCAAATTTGCACTGGCATACGATAATAATAACAGATTCATAAAATAAGTTGGGAATGTACAATGCATATTTAAATTAAGTTTTTTGGGGATTACATTTGACAACCACTTTTACACATCACGCTTCTTCAAGTGGCTTGTGATACAATAGGGTTCGAACATGTGGTCCGGTTATGACCAAGTCTCCCACATCGAGTGCATTTCCTCAGTTGGGAAGTGGACTCGTATCTAGCTCGCTTACGTCGCGTCGGTGGTCTACTTGGAGGACGACGTACAGTCGGTGGCAAAATATGAGTGCCTAGGATTTCACTTGGAACAACCCAATCCACTTCCCATGTAACGGGATATATGACTTCCATATAGGCATCCCTCCAGTATTCTGATGTATAGTACGGAGAGCATAGATCGTATAATGACTTACCACTCAGGGTAGCACCACGAGTTGCATGAGCACATGGCATACGATTTAGTTGAAACTCACGACATGTCCACGTGTTATCAGAGAAGTCCACTATCTCCGTATCGTTGGATATTCCAACCTGGGTCAAGCTGTTCGTCAACTCATGGGCTCGAAGCCTAGTACCAGCTTCAAATGTTGTTTGTAACTCGTTCTCCATCCTCGAAGATAATATAGTGCTGCATGAGGTTGCGTTGCTTCGACGTTCGTAAAACCACCTCTGCATTGTTTTACGAATGTGCTCGACCAAACACGTAATTGGCAACGAACGAGCATGTCTCAGCATTGAGTTCAATGATTTCACGTTGTTGTTTGTCATAATGTTGTATCGGTCGCCCACGAATAGTGCTCATGACCAGAATGAAAAACCGGCTTTCTCCAAATACCTGTAACATCTTTCACTCACCCTACGAATCTGTCCCATTAGTCGTTCGAACTCTTCGACCCGATAAGTTGTAGCAGCTCGTTTGAACAGGAATATTGAACTTGCGTTAAAGTGCCGCTGAATTAGGTTTTTCTCCACGTGCCACATACAACAACAATGATGAGACAAAGGAAATAACTGAGTAATAGCTCTTTCGATACTTCTTTTCCTGTCCGAAACAAATACAAGTTCATCTGAGTCTTCTATAAGATCTTTCAAGTTAAACATAAACCACATCCAAGATCGGTTAGTTTCAGACTCCACAATCCCCCACGCTAAGGGATAAATCTGTTTGTTGGCATCTTGGGCAGTTGCCAGTAAAAGTGTACCCTTGTATGGACCTTTCAAGTGACTACCGTCAACGCAAACAACGGGCCTTAAGTACCGCATGTAACCACGAATGCTTGCACCAAAATCTAGGAAGAAGTAATGGAATCTATCGTGCGAATCAAGTTCGATGTGGGTTACCGTCCCCGGGTTATTCTCACCTAGTACGTGACAGTATGAAGATAGTTTCTGAAAACTGTCCTCCGATGTCCCATGCAGCATATGTAAAGTGGCCATCTTCCCCTACGTGCCTTGCTGTAACTTATTTGGACACCGAGCTCACGTTCCATGTCACGTGCAATAGTGCTCGGATCATACGATCGGTTCAGATTATCCAATTTTTTGAAAATATGCTCGGCAATTACAGCACTCGTCACATGTCGATGCGCATTACTGCGAAAATCGATAGAACATGTGTGCACATTATTGAATTTATGGATCACAAAGATTGCAGACTGCTTCACAGTAGAAGCACATAACATCCACTTGCAACTGCGGTCGGCGCATACAACGGTTAACATGTTCATGCTTGACCGGCTCACCTGAAATTGGAACTTGTTTTTCAAAGCAAGTGCACGAATTTTCGAGTACAACTCTTTCTTGCTGAAGAATATTTCCTTTTCGGCAAGATCGGATGTAGTTATAGTTCTCATAAATTCATATCCATCCGAATCGTTGGAATGTGACAAAGAGTGCTCGTCCTCGACGTCAACAGAATTAGCAGCCTCTAAACTAGGTGATGGGTTATCCAAGTTCTCATCTAATGGTGCACTCCCGTTATCATACTCATGTGTTTCAAGTGCATTATTATTTGAGACACTATGTATTCGATTCACCAAATCATGTTCCACGTTTTGCAGAACATCTACCGCAGCAAATGAAGGATCTTCAAAATTTGCATCCCTTCCCATGTCAACACTTGGGAGATCGGATTCCAAAACAGTAACGCAGATAGCACTTTCCTTATGCACTGATACGTACCAATTTAAGTCTTCATTGTCGCATATTTCAGCCGGAGGTATATTCAAGTTAGGGACTTTGAACTTCAATTCAATTTGAGCACGGGGATCAAGAATACCAAGTTTCTCCTTCAACCTTAACATAAGTTCGGCTACGGTAATACTTCTTGGCACCAGAATGGAAGTAGTTTTGGCCCCTCTCCACTTCCATTCGTCATCCGCACGAACAAAATTTCCCCCATGCGACACGACGAATCTCAAATGATTATTCATACTTGAAATGTTGGGATTGCAATGGTAACAATTCGGAATCAATATGTTGGCATTTAATAGTATGAAACTCACACTTCATAATATGTAAATCAGTACAATAACAAAAGTTCAAATCAAGGGTTTGTATCGTTTTGAAGTATCCAAATTGAAAGTAAAATTGTATAATTCAACAGTTTCGAAATGTCAGGTTCGATATCTCAAACGTCTAACCCAACGATTTGTAAATGTCGAACTCGACAGTTTAACTGTCGAGAATGTCGGGAAGCAGACGACATTGAATTTCTGAGGTTTCTTCAACACATCATATTAAGTGTGGTCATTATTATTCACCTACCAAATGACAAAATGAAAATGGCATATTGGCCTTGTCATTAAAGAGACTTTAATGGTGGTAATGGAAGAAATTACTCAATGGTGATAATGGCATTTTATTAAGGATTCAAAAAAATCAAACAAATGAATGCATAATACTTTCAAATTAATTTCAAATAATGTTGTATTTAATATGTACAAATACAAAGCTATAAAAGTAATATAAATTAATTTGTAATTGCTAACCTCTCAAAGTGGATGTAGAATGCAACACAAATGTCTTCTTAATCAATGAAAATGAAGAAGATGGAAAAGAGGTAGGGTTTCTTGTTTATGTTTCGTTTTCTAATTTTTTGGTAATTTTTCATTAACAAAAATTCATATTAATCAATAAAATACACATTTATCCATGTTTTCTATCAAGTCAATGCTTTTCCTTCACATCAAGCATTTAATGCTACTAGAAATGTGTGATTAAGGGTATTTTGGACTTTGCACCCTAAAAATGTGACATTTTTGCTCACAAAAAGTGAAAATGACATTTTTTTTAACTTTCATTTTTGGTGACAATTTTGTAAATTCCCCTAGATTTAATGATTATAGCCTCTAAGGCGAAAGTCACCAACTTTAATAAGACTGAGGACTTTCTCGAGGTGATGGGACTGGAGGCCCCAATCGAGTATAATACTATGGTATCAAATGGGGAGCTATCGAAGTGCCCCCAATTATGACAAAGAAGGTGAGCGAAGCCATCTTTAAAGCCGGAATGCATCTGTCTCTGCACCCTTTCGTCAAGGGATATTAAGGACCTACATGTTAGCATCGACCTAATTGTTTTCGTATACATGGAGCCAGATGTAGGGGCTTAATTCCTTCAGAAGGAGGTCTCTCTGGGCAAGCAAGGACATGCCCATCCACGTGTTCCAAACCATATTTCAGTTCCTAGCAGCAGGTAAAGAGAAGATCTCCGAGGATTGGTATTACAAGACCCCCTTCAAGGGCCCCATTCTCCATTTGTCCTATGCTCCATTTGTCCTATGGCTTCCCACCTTCATAAAAGGTTGGAAGGAGAACTGGTTCTAGGCCAGGGAGTGATCAGAGATGGCCTACTGTGCAGGACGATGCGGCCCCTCCTCTCCCCGTATAACCCAATATTCATGTGCTAGTGAGTTCTACTGTGATATAATAGTTGTCTCAATTTCCTAATTTGTGTACTCATACATTTAGGGCTTGTTTGAGTCACATTAATTTCAAAAAAATATATTCTTCAGCAGTGATTTGATATTATTTCAACCACACATTTTTTAATAAAATAATATTACTCGTAAATTTAAAACTTTTTCTTATTTTTAACCACACATTTCTCATTGATTTGACATGAATAATGCATTTTTCATAGAATGTGGCTCAAACATGGGCTTTATGTTTTCTCTACAATTTTGTGGGGGATCGTTGACATCTACAAGCTTCCATCCAAGGCTTGTAGTTTCACTTGCCTTATAAATTGAAGCACTCTTATCATATCTGCTTTGACCTAATGGCCATTCATGCTAATTTTTGAAGCCTTACATCGTCAACATACATCTTTTGTTGATTTTTTTAAGTATTGAAGCATTTGTTTTGATTTGTAGATGACCACTACAAGAAAGTGTACTAAAAAATACTCATCTTCCTCGATCCATCACAAAATCATCTTCCATCGTTGCAGCCTAATTTCCTCCACCTCCACAGATCCCATTTTTCTATCCCTATCAACTTCATTTCTTCCTAATAAGAACATTTAAAGAACTCAGAATAAATAAATAAAAATTATCTTCTAAACCAACAACAATGACAGTGTTCGAGGCAACTTCGCCATCTACCAATGAGTGGGGTTGTTTGAATTAGGGGTTAGGTGTTGTAGTTGGGTGATTGTGTGGATTGGGAAAGACGAATATTTTTATCAACTGACTAGCTTTTTGATAGAAATCATTAGATGTCCTTTTAGTGTAAATTTTAATTAAACGTTTGGGACATTCACTTTAAATATTTGCAAATTTTTGGACTTTTGATACAAAATTACGCTTTCTGATTAATAAAAGATTAAAACGGCTGATTTGTGCCTTTTACAATTGCTCAATTTTTTGGCTAAAAACTAGATTTTTGGCCATGTTTGAGCCACATTTTTTCAAAAAAAATATATTATTAAACAGTGATTTGACATCATTTCAACCACACATTTTTCAAAAAAATAATATTATAAGTAAATCCAAAACTTTTCTTTATTTTCAACCACACATTTTCCGTCAATACACTATTCAAAAATGCATTCTAAGAAAAATAATGTGGCTCAAACAAGGGCTTGATCAACTAACAAATTTCTGGACCAAAATGTCCAGAGGTCTTTTCTTAGCACCAGTTCTATAGGTTAGGGACCAAAACAGCTACAAATCAAAAATTTGGATAAAATCTGCACCATTTAAAAAGTTTTAGGACCACCACTATAATTACCTTAATATTAATTGTCCATTCAGTGTTGCTACCATATCATATTATTTGTAAGATGCTCAATTTATCACCAAAAAAAAAAAAAATTATATTACACAAAAAGATGGACCAACCCAAAAAGTTTCATAGGGCGGCATATATACTAAGGCCACAATCCCATCGAAAGAATCTCTGGTGGTTCACACTTTTTTTTTTTGCATTTACTCCAACTAGGGATGTCAATTGGACTCGCCGATTCGAATTGACCGTGGTTCGGCCTGGAAAAAGCTCGAGCCGGCTCGGCTTGGGGCTCGGTGGAACCTAGCCAAAGCTCAGGTCGAGCCCCATTTTGAGGTTTCGGGCTTAGCCCGAGCCGGCCCATGTGGCTCACTGACTCGGGCTCGGGCCTTATTAAAAAAAAACACATGAAAAGTAAAAAAAAAATAAAAATAAAAATAAAAAGGGCAGCAGCTTGCTGCCTTATTTTAAAAGGCAGCTGAGCCATTATTTATAATTATAATAAAT